ACAATCACTCAAGTAGGCAAAGGCTAAAACTAGAGAAGCAAGGGATTGTTATAGGTGAAGCTAATCAATCAACTGTAAAATGTCAGAAATGTACTGGAGATATCTGGAATTTCTTTATTTAGGTACAAGTGATGGTTTGTAGCATAGAAGGATTTTGGTAGGTGGAGTGTGAGTGAGGCAAAAACTTTTCCATGCTATTTGCAATACGGAGCAACAGGCAGATCTCAAAGAACGCAGCTAGTAGAAATTCTCGCTATTTGCAGCAAGTGAGAGGAAAATTTTAATCCCCTTCTCTTTTACTCTGAGTTAAATATTGTGTCTGCTTTTCCTTTCACTTTGAATTTATTTCCTTGTAGAAGTTTAGCTGATGAAGAAGTTAACCTCTGTAGGCAGAGGGGTGCAGGCTCTTCCGTTGCTGCAAGTCTGTTCTGCACTAAACACTAAGACAAGGAAAATAAATTTTACCTAAACCTCTCCCTCTCTGTCCAGTCTCTTTTCCCAAGAAATGAATAATGCCGACATACTGGTAAACACCATGGATGCAGACAGGTGTTTCTTCTAGCATTTTCAGTTTATAGGGAATGGATAAAAAGCCTCACAGCATCAAACTAAGGGTCTTGAAGCAGCACCTGCATTTGTGATCCATCATAAGTGTGTAGGAGGTGATGCTGTGCTTGCAAGCAGGCTTCTCTGCTTGCACAGGGCAGCTCTGAGGGATGAGGCTCTTTTCAAGGAAAATTTTGATTCTCGTACGGTTTTTTTCTGCTCTTAGCCACTTCCTGCATTGGGCTGTTCATGTTGCTTTTCTTGACTTCGGCATCGCACGCAGCAGCCAGTGACAGAGACTATTTTAAGGCCTCTTACAATGGTCTTCTCATTTACTTCGCTAAAATGAGAAAGTTAGCCCTGCGTTGGCCACTTGTTAGCCGATGGCAACTTTTACTTTGACTCTGGCTCCCCTCCCCCACCTGAAATCCCTGGCTCAGCAAATATTTGAACCTGCCCAAGTTAATCATGAAACTGAGATCTTTATCTGAGAGAGACGTGCAAGCTACTGAGGGTGGTGGTTTCTTTTTTTTTTTTTTCACAGTACTGAAGTCAGGTTCACTTTTTAATGATGAACCGGAGTAAGTGGATAGCTTCTGCACAGCACAGAGCTTTAAGCAGTTAAGAAGAGAGAGAAGGCTTGGATTTTTCTCACTGCATGTTACAGCTCTTTCAGGGATTTTTATGGCATATTGGTTGGAAAACAGAGCAACCTCTTTTTCAGAATATTTTTTCCTTCATTGCTTCAGAGAAGCTTCCTAGGAAAAGGAAGTTTTAGGTTGGTTTTTTTTTTAAGCAAGATTTTTATAAGAGGAAACCAATTATTTTTTCAGGCTATTGGATTGTATTTTCAGGCTATATTACAAGGGTGATCATTTGCGATGCATAATTTACAAAGTAAGTGATTTTGAATTTCTGTGTGTGTTTTCTTCATCATCTGGTGGAAGTACTGTACTGTAACTGATTACCAGGTAGAGCTTTAATGGTCTTAAGGTACATGAATTAAATTAGTCGAGTACTTCAGTACCTCTGCAGGTTATATATGGAATGGGGAATAGCCTATCTGCCTCCTGTCTTTTCCTGCCTGCAGGCTAGGCTAGTCTGAGCTGAGCACTAACCTGATTATACAAGTTTGTTCAGTCCTAAATTGGGCCACCAGTGAAACCCTAGTGAAGTAATTTTTCCTGAAAGTATTCAGTGGGATAAAAAAAAACTTACTGATCCCACATGAGACGTAAATGCAGCAATGTAGGAAATCTTTGTAACTTAATTTAAATAATTACCTTGGCAACTACTCTGTTTGGGTAGCAGGTGGGCTAAACCTCCAAGTTCAGTGTTTAGACTTGTGTCTGGGATGATTTTAAGTATCCTGTTTCATTTTGGAAATGGAAGGAATCTTTGGAGCATGTCTACCTAAACAGGGAGGGGAGAGGAGTCTACTTCAGAAATGAATTTAAGCTTGTTATGTATGAAGCAAACTAGCATGCATCTTTTTGTAGATGCTGGTGCTCCAGACACCCTCATGTATGTTGATACTTGTCTAAAAGGGGTAACCTGCTGAGGGGCACAGATGGGGGGGTCGAGGGAGGGTTATATGTGCAAAATATTTGGGAAGCATATAAATTGTGTTAATTTTGTTAATGAGTATTTATGAGATAGAGCACATTTCATCTGCACCAGGATTTCTTGTAATGCAGGCACAGATAGTTGCTACAGCTACTCTTTGTTGTGGTTATTTTTGGTCTCTGGTTTTTTCCCCCCATAGATTATAGCAAGTATAAAGCATTCACATTGCTTTGCATAGCATTCTGCTCTGGAATTAATAGTGTGTTCTGTGCTTGTTTATTCCAAGAGATCTGAGAGAGTAACAGTCAGTGATGGCGGGTGTTAACAAGGAATATTTCTAAATGGTAGGAGGATACTGATGACATAAAGTCAAGTGAGGAAGGAGACACTGACAAGGGATTTTTGCTTTTAAAAACAATTAACTTCATAAATACCTCAGTGAGAACAGGGTAAAGAAACAGTGTGAAAAGGCAGACTAAGTCTTGCTGTATGCCAGCAGACAGGCTTTTTTATGTCCAGCAGAACCACTTTTCAAGATCTTGCTCAGTTCTTCCATGGTTTGTGCAAGTCTGCTGAACATATGATCACAATATTTGGTTTTTTGATTTCAAAATTATTTCATCTGGATTGATTTGGATTGTGCTTTATTGCATAATGATAAGAGAGGGAGACATCTCTGCAGTAAGCACATTTTAAATAATATCAACTCTGTCAGACTTGTGTGTCCATTAAAATAGTAGAAATCTGCACAGTTTAAAAACATGGTATTTCATTTTGTGGAGATATATATATATATATCTGTGTATGTGTAAAATGAGTGTGTAACTGATAGACACACACAGAGTCATGCTCTGCATCTTTAATATGTACAGTAGGTCTAGAATCCCTTTAAAGCTCTTTGAATGGTAAACTTCAGGCATCCAAGCAAGGGAATGCAACTGGGATGTGACCAACCTGCTTCTAAAGGGAGCTGCCCTGTGTGTGTGTCTGTGTGTGTGTTGTGTGCGCGTGTGTGTAAGAGCTACGTGCTGCAGCATATCAGCCTTTTGTCATCCTGCCAGGATTGGACTGTACCATGCTGCAAAGTCAGGAAAAGGAGCTGTGAACACAGGCAAGGAGAGCCCACTTGCTCCTTTTGTGTGTAACACCAGGTTTATGTTGCAGTTCTGCTAAATGTAGATTCTTTCCAAAACTGAAATTGTTTTAAGATTGATGTAGAACAAAATGAGGAAGCAGGAGTGGTTTGGTGACATTATTTTGACATGATTGGCTGAGGATTATGATGTAATAGGTTACAGTGCAGCCCCTTATAGGTTTTAAAATGAATTCCAAGACACCATTACAAAGAGAGCCTGACTCTTTCCTTGTGTCTGAGCTTACTCAGTGAAACTCATACAAATGTACAATACTGTTTGGAATATGGAAGAACTGGATATAGAATATCCTAAGACAGATATAAATTGTGGCACAGACTTGATGTTTTACATAGAAATGGATCCACCAGGTAAAACTGCAGTCTTATTATAGAAGAGTTAATTAATTTTGGTCTTTGCAATAGCTGCTGAAAATTTCTTATTGGATATGTCGTATTTCTTTACTTTGTTATTGATAGAATAGTTTTCCTTTTTTTTTTTTCAGAAACTGGAATTAAATTGTGGTGTAGTGCATGGTTATAGTAATTAGAATCTTAACATATTGAAATATCTGTCTGCTTACTTAATTGAATTTTTACTGAATTGACCTGTTTCTCCTTTTATTTTACTATGTCAGATGTAGTTTCAGTCCTGCTATTATATCATTGTATTTCTTTTATTTTTATTTTTTTTTTGCTCTCTCTGTTCCACACTGTGACTACAAGAAGATGCTGTAGTGACACTCTTATTTCCTGAAACAGTGATTACAAAACATTGCTTTGGATTGTTTCAAGGAAAAATATTTTTAAAATCTAGCAATGTTAACTGAATACCTGTTATAGCATCATTTTTTTTCATATCAAGTGGGAATATTGTGCTATCCTGATATTCACTGCAACTTTAAAAACATTCTCTTTTGAGCCTGATGGTAATATACAGGACAGAAATTATGTACTTGCTGGAGAACTAAAAGAGCTGAGTTGATTTTTAATCCTGATTCCAATGTAGTCCCCTCCTTGTTACTAAGTCAGTGCTGCAGTATCTTCCCTGGCACCCACTGGTATACGTATGCAGCTTTGACATTGAGGAAAGGGGGATGTGGGTTTTCATCAGTCCTGGCATTTGGAACACAATTTATTCTGTAGAATACTAAGATTAACACAAGGGATATTTGAGTCACAGATGGGTTTCTTAAACTGTTTGGTTGTTTTTGGGGGGTTTATTTGCAAATCATTACACAGAATGCTGAGGATCACAAAAACCCAATTCTTCAAATATACAGTATTGCTGTGGGTTTGCATCTTTTAATACTCAGCTTCTAGGTAAGGAAGCAGCAAAATTCCTCTGAGATCATTACATAGGGGGATTAAAAACAATGGGCATGTTTTGTTATTTGTGTTCACCTGGAGATAATGGAAGAAGGTGAAAGCAAACTTCAGATTTTTGTCTCTCAGACGCTTTCTTCACAGGAGGAGGAGATGAGTGTGGTGTTATATTTTGCCTAACTGTAAGAGTAACAGTTTTTTGAAACAGTGCAACTTTATTTTGAATTACATTGTTTCCAGTACAATATCTTGATTCCTCTAATGTCCTTTAAAACTGTTAGTGATGGACAACTCTGTTTTATAGCCATTCTCTTTTTTTTTTTCTCATTCCTAGAATCACAGAATTCCTGTAATAATCTGTAATTTCAAGGAATATATGGTCCTGTTTTCAGTGAGTTATAATCAACTTTTTTTCCCCTTTCATTTGCAGCACTGCCTCCTAAGCCACCGAAACCTAATACCGTAACTAACAATAGCATGAATAACAACATGTCATTACAAGACGCTGAATGGTACTGGGGAGATATCTCAAGGTAAATCAGCTGGGGACATTTATTTCTTATGTTTGGCTTTATGTTCTTGCTGTGCTGTTCTGTGTATGTGTATTGTGCTTCAGGTGTAGAAAAATTACAGTCCTAAGAGCTGTTTTTAGGATATTTCCCAACACAAACAAATTACAGTTGGTTTTATTCCAAACATGACTAAAAAGTTACAGGCACTCAATTAGGATGTAGTATGTGAAATGATTGTCCTGTTACTTTAAGGCAGCTGTATGAAATGCTAGTGTGAAGGGACAGCACCAAGAAACACGTATTTTCTACTTGTCTTTCATCCAGAACCTCCACTGTAGGGGCAGCAGTCAAAAAGTCAGACTAACAAGTGCCATATATTAGTAACATTTTTAACTGTACTATATATAGGTACATTAGACCAGCACTGGCTGTTCCAATTGTAGGGGCTTGTATGAACAAGCAGAAAGACCTTTGCATGAATAATAATTTTGCACAGCATTGAGAGGACAAAGACTATGCCATTTTTATATCCCAGTTGTTCTCCAGTAATTTAAAATAAGCTATTAAATAGCTGCATTTATTAGTGTGGAGATCTATAAGGCTTCTAAAACCCAGTCACTTTGAAAGAGAAGAATTTAGAGCTCTGTGAGGAGTAACTGAAACGATTGGTTGCTTTTGCTTTCATTTCAGAGAAGAAGTAAACGAGAAGCTTCGAGACACTGCTGATGGTACCTTTTTGGTACGAGATGCTTCCACCAAAATGCATGGGGACTACACACTTACGCTAAGGTGAGATGGGTCACACCAGGTCTGTATTGCTTGGTGGTAAAATGCAACGACTGCATTTAGCATGCAGTGTTCTTTAGGAAATGGTGCCTGAAGTATGCCTAACTTTGCAACATACTTTATTTGCAGGAAAGGAGGAAATAACAAATTAATCAAAATTTTTCATCGGGATGGAAAATACGGCTTTTCTGACCCATTAACTTTCAACTCCGTGGTCGAGCTAATCAACCACTACCGGAATGAATCTCTAGCCCAGTATAATCCTAAACTGGATGTAAAATTACTGTATCCAGTGTCTAAGTACCAGCAGGTAATTTAGCCTATTTTCTTTGTGTTTCGCTTAAATACAGAGAAATTACTGCAGACTGGGAAGTCATTTACCATTTAGAACTTCAGCTCTGCTAATATTTGAAAATATAAAGTGGATATAAAACCTGATATTTTTGTTTAAAACCAACTCCAGACTTTGCATATAAATAACTGAAACTTTAAATACTGCAGAAACATTATTAAGAAATAAATATGTTAATAAATATCCCACTCAGTGATGAAATACATAGTTTTCAGTATAAAGCTAAACACTTGCAATGCAAAATTGCTTTTTGTCATTAATTTCTCATTTGCATATTATGCATTTATTGCACTATATCTCTGTATTGATGAAAGAGGAATCGCATTTCCATGTAATTATCTAGGCATTTTAAAGCAGTTTTATCCGGAAAATCTCTGCAATATAATTGTTTCGTTACGGAGTATCTTTCCTTCTGCTCATCATTCCAGGATCAGGTTGTTAAAGAGGATAGCATTGAAGCTGTGGGAAAGAAATTACACGAATATAATACCCAGTTCCAAGAAAAAAGCAGAGAATATGACAGACTCTATGAAGACTACACAAGAACATCTCAGGTGAGCTAGATTAGAAACTGAAGGGAGAGTGGGAGACTTTGTAGATTTCGAAGAATACCATTGTGAATTCACAGTGCCATCTTACTCCTCCTCCCTCCTCCTCCTCCTCCTCCCTTCCCCCACCACTGCCTTTGCCCGAAAGAGGAAGCACACCTGATGTGCTTACTCAGAGTAGTAGAATTGCTTACTCATGTTTGGACAGCCACCACCTATAAACTTACCCACCCTGTGCCTGACAACTCCATCCAAAGCAAGTACAGAGCTATCTTGATTTACCAGCACTTCTGCATACTGACCTCATCAAGTTGAGTTATGCTTTTTCAAGACATATTTGCAGGGAAGAATTGCATTTTATTGCTGATTTTTGAACAGAATGGCTTACTATGCAGGATAGAGAGATGATGTGTGTAGATACAGTGCAGAAATGAAAAGCTGCCTCTGTCCTTCTTGCAGCTTAATTAGCCTCATCTTGAAGTGCTAGTGAATTAGTGCAGTTTTACAGGCACAGAGTCAAGACTGCTGCTTACAATGTGCAGGAAATCTGCCTAAAAATAGTAGAAGGAAAGTGGAGAACTGCTGGCAACTTGAACTAATGACTTAAGACTTGACTATCAAGTAGGTATGTAGGGGCAGGAGGATAGGATAGAGGACCTCTTGAGACCTGTCCAGGCCAGGGTGCTACACCTTGAATTTCAGAAAACCTCTAAGGACATTAGTCTATACAAAGGACAAAGTGCATTGCCATAAGGCTCAAAGCATCACGAATAATATTTATTTATACAGAGAAAAGATTGTAACGTTCTTTTTCTATCAGTTTTACTTTCTTGATAAATCTCAGCATGGAAAGCTTATCGTGGTAGTCTTTGACACAGGCCTGTGGTCTGCAAAGCCATAAGGCTTTGCAGACAGAATGCATTTTGGTAGAGGGATATTGAAGTCTTTTACAATATACCAAAGTGTTTCTGTGATACAAACCAATAAATCATCCCCGTTGTCTGATAACAACTGTAATAACAATTATTTATTTTCAGGAAATTCAAATGAAAAGAACAGCTATTGAGGCATTTAATGAAACAATAAAAATATTTGAGGAGCAGTGCCAAACACAAGAAAGATACAGCAAGGAGTACATTGAGAAATTTAAACGGGAAGGAAATGAAAAAGAAATACAAAGGTCAGTATTTGGTTTTGCATGAAAAATTGTATTATTTTTGAAAAGAGCAAACAATGCCGTGTCTGCCTAAAGCTGAAGCAAGATGACAAGCTTAAAGTTGTTCAGTTGTAAGGAAAGAAGCCTCAAATAGGGTAAATGTGAACTTGCAAAATATATAGCCACATCTAGAGACGTAATCTGTTCTCTTAAGCGTCTGCACCTCTAAATAGCAGATTATAAAGTTATGAATAAGAGATCAGAGTGTAACCCAGCACATTATTCCATTCAGAATTATGCACAACTATGAAAAGCTGAAGTCTCGGATAAGTGAAATTGTGGACAGCAGGCGCAGATTAGAAGAGGATTTGAAGAAGCAAGCAGCTGAATACAGAGAGATAGACAAGCGTATGAATAGCATTAAGCCAGACCTCATCCAGCTGAGGAAGACAAGAGATCAGTACTTGATGTGAGTATCACAAATTAACAAATTTGGGTTTAAGTTGTTTGGGTTTTTTTTAATGATATCCAATGTTTGTGACTAAAATATCATTGTATTTGCAATTATTGTCCAGGTGGCTGACTCAGAAAGGTGTCCGGCAGAAGAAGCTCAATGAATGGCTTGGAAATGAAAATGCAGAAGAGTGAGTATTGAAATATTTAAATATTTCTGGTGTTTCAAATCGTCTTATGCAAAAGTGAGATAAAGCAAACTTAATTCTTGGACCTCCACACAGAGGAAATCTCAAGCCTAGGTCTGCAGCAACAATACAGCCTACATAATGCAAGTTGCAGACAGGTTTCTGTCTCACTCCCTACTCTCCATTTTTCAGGGACGTGCATACTCAAGTTAATATAGCAAAGCACTGAAATGTGTCTTTATTCTTACCAGCAAAATTAAGTTTGTGAGGTGTTAGTGCCTTAGAGAGATGTCATGAGCAGATTTTTTCCAAATGTCAGGCTTTAGTACCATGGTGTTATCTAGTATAGTGGTACCCATACCAGTATATCACATTGCTGTTGGGGATGATAGATATGTATATGCTGAGGAGTGGTTCTTCTCCAGTTTTGTGGTTCTATTTAACTTTTCGGGCAAAGGGCAGGATAGTATTCTGTCATTTCAAGCAAGTTAGTTCACTATAGGTTCTGACAGGGACTAGGCTAATGAATACATTTCATTGCATTCCTGGGTGGTGTGAACATAGACCACATTTAAACAAAAGGAAGACACGAAATAATATCTCCAGTGTAGTAACAGTGAAGAATGAAGAACTAGAAAACCCAAGTTGTCTCAGTAGTATTTGTATCAACATTTCCTGCCTGTGTAGTTTCTCATGCATGCCTTTTATGCTGCCTGGTTGAATACACAACAAAAGCAGCAGAGTGACAATGACTCCTTAGTGGATTTACATTCTAGCTTTGTCCACATCTGTTTTAATTTGGCTTGGTTTATTGAGTCTCCTACTGTTATCCTGGAAATTGTACATCTCTTCTGTGGTAGAAGCAGGAGATTAAAATGGCATACACGTTTCAAAGCCACGTTGTTCTCTCAGTCTTTGAACAACTCAAAGATGATATGATGTAAGATATTTAGGCACCTGTTTCCAATGGTACTTTTATCACTTAAGCAGTGGACAAAGAACAATGCTGTGCCATGGGTTTAGTCTAGCATCAAAATAGTAAGTGAAACTGTTTGAAAAAAATATTCATGTTCTTTCACTCTGTGACTCTCCTGCCAGTGAGTCTGGTAAGAGCTCAGGCTTGAACTTTCAGTATATGACTTTTTTTCTAAAGTTGCAATGCAGAAAAAATGCCAATATAATGAGCTGGATGAAAAACAGGAATCACTTTCTCTAGATGTTGTTTGAAAATAGAGACATTGCCGAATGCATTTGAATATCATGCAGGTCAAAGAAGTATGATAGGATAAGGGACCTAGAGAGTGTTATCTGAAACAAAAGAACTATTTTTCTTCATGAAAAATGTAATTCTGAGGCTGCTGATTTCTGTAGAGTACTTTGAGAATCTTCAGAAAGACAGAACCATGGATGAGTGAGAAGTCATCTTTCCTTAGACCAAGGAAAACTGATTAAAAACCTATTACAGAGAGAATAAGTGCATTAGCCAAACACAGACTGATTGCAAGCTGAGCAGGAGAGGCAGGGCCCACTAGTGCAGGCTGCTGGGGGAGTGGGAAGCTCTGGAAACAAAGTGATGTCCAGACGGCTGAACCAGAGGCATCTTCTTTCATGGTGGGCTTCAGCTCAGAGGGTTCTCATAACTCTGAGTCAGCTTTATAGTTGGTGGCTCTTTTGGTAGAGAAGACCTTATATTACATGCTCTTCTCATAATCTGCTTATAAGGAGAGGGAGGAAAAGCACTCTACTCTTGCACCCTTTCCACAAAGCCATCTACCCTATAAGTAATTAATCTGTCTACCTGTACGACTGCTCACAGCTTCTCCAAGCAGCAGCTGCAGTTGATACATTGCATGGTTTTTCACTGCTGACCAAGTGTTCTGGTCTTTAGAAATGAAGCTGACTCAGAGGGTATTGATTTTGTTGGGCCTTGCTATTTACCAAAAACAGTGAACAGTGGTAGAAGTACTGGAGAGCTCACAGCAGATTCTGAAAAAATAGCACAGCATCTTTTAATATTCTTCTTTAGATTTGCATGAGTGTTGTTAAAAGAAACAGGAACCAGAGCTTGTATTTTAGTTCTGTTCATTGGTTTGAATGGTGCAGTATTACTTGGATTAGTTCCCTGGGTTTACCAGGGAGGCACCTTACTAATCATTGACTTTTTTGGTTTTGTAAGTAATATAAGATGAAGACTACTTAATTAATGGACTTTGCTCTGCTATGCATTTCACAAACACATCTTTTCCTATTTTGACAGCCAATACTCTATGGTAGAAGACGATGAGGACTTGCCCCATCATGATGAGAGAACATGGAATGTGGGAAATATCAACAGAAGCCAAGCTGAAAATCTGCTGCGGGGAAAGAGAGATGGAACATTCCTGGTTCGAGAGAGCAGCAAACAAGGCTGCTATGCCTGCTCTGTTGTGTATGTACCCACGTTTGTGAATGATGTAACCAGCATTTGAGGGGCCTACCTTGAGCTGAGGGCAGGTAGACAACTGCGTGTGCATGATGCCCATTAGAGCCTTGGGCTTGCTAGCAGGCCAACAAGTCCTGAGGACCTTCTTACTGCTGCTCCATTTCATGGAGTCATAGATTGTTAAGGGGTTGGAATGGACATTAGAGATCATCTAGTCCCAACGCCTGCCCTGGGCAGGGACACCTCCCACCAGAGCAGGTTGCCCAAGGCTTTATCCAACCTGGCTTTGAACACTGCCAGGGTTGGGGCAGCCACAGCCTCCCTAGGCAACCTGTGCCAGTGTCTCACCACCCTCATGGGAAAGAATTTCTTCCTAATATCTAATCTAAATTTCCCCTCTTTCAGTCTGTACCCATTACTCCTTGTCCTATCAGTGTAGTTCCTAATGAAGAGTCCCTCTCCCGTTTCTCTGTAGGGGAGTACAGAGTGACACAGCTCTAACCTGTACCACTCTCACAGATGAGCCTCACTCAGAAAGGAAACCAGAGCATGGATGCATTCCTTTCTGTGCTATCTCCTGCCGCCCTAAGCTAACGTGACATCTGAGAATTTGGGCTAAACCTGGGGTTTTGTCATTTTCCCACCAAAGAGGAATTCTATGTACGGACTAACATCTTAAGATTTATTGCCAATTCCTTATTTTCTATCTTAATTTTATTGTACTCACAAACTAAAAACTGGTTGTTTTGCTTCCTTTTTTAGGGTGGATGGAGAAGTAAAGCACTGTGTGATCAACAAAACACCTACTGGGTATGGATTTGCAGAGCCATATAACTTGTACAATTCGCTTAAAGAACTGGTGCTACATTATCAACACACATCACTTGTGCAGCACAATGACTCTCTCAATGTCACACTAGCCTACCCAGTTTATGCACAGCAGAGGCGATGAAGATCTTAATACTCTGGGTTGTTTGTTTTTTTTCTAAAGAGATGATTTGACAACATTGAGGCCTCTGGAGAGAAAAGGCTCCTTTCAGCTTTACTCAAGAATTTGCAGTATCAAAGCTATCTGTCTTCAGATGGGACTAAAGATTTCCTTCACAACTGCAGTGGGAGAGATCACAGTATTAAGCTGTGAATGTATGTTTGTAATCTGAAGTGCTTTTTTTTTTTTTTTTAATTAAGAAAAGAAAAACACAAGAGAAAAATCCAAACCTGATCTCCCTGCAGGGACATAGAGGCCTTTAAGCATGGTGCTTGTTTACGACCACTTCTGAAGCTTTACCAGCTAGAACATTGGATTATCCAGACACAAGGTATAAGAGGTCTGTGTCATTCGGTTATTGGAATTTCGTGGTCATGACCTGTCTTGGAATAGTGTTGCTGCACTCAGTGGATCCAGACACACAGCTTTGTGGATTTTATTTGGTTTCTGGTGAAAGATATGTAGCAGAATGGCACTTTCATTTCTAAAGGACACTTTAAAAGGACTTCAGTTACAGTATGTTGTTCAGAGTAATTGTAATAGCAAAGTGCCAGGAAGGGTTTTGTTTAGGTGATGAAAAATCCTGTTTTAAGAATATATTTAAGACTGAAGAAAACAGGACTTTCAGTGGCATACAGTGTATAATAATGTACATAGTACTGGATGACTAACTATCATTGATGGAAACTATCAGTACCAAACTGCTTCTTCTTTTTCCCTTTCTGTTTGCTGAAAGCTGAATTCTTAGACTATGCTATGCAATACTGAATTTTCTTTAGGCTGTAGTCTTCTCACAAGCATAGGGAGCTTGTTTTTCTTTCCTGTTTCATTGTCTTCTTTTTTTCTTTTGCCTGAGAATATTTTTCCTGATGATTATTTTTCGTTATTAATTTTCTTGTTTGTTTGGGTTTTGTTTTTTTTTTTTAAATGTACAGGAAGCCAGCAAGAGTTGGCTTGAGAATTAAAACTATGAAATATTTTACAGTTTTCTTTGTACAGAATATTGAGCTACTAGCTCAGAGTTTAAAAAGTTCATAGATTTTTTTTTGACTAAATATTTTGTTGGGCAGTGCCTGATAAGCTTCAAAGCTGCTTTATTCAATAAAAAATATATGAACATTACAAAATATCACTGAGTCCAACAATACTGTTTCAGAGATATCTTTAGAATACGGTACCATGCTACGTTTGCTTCTTGAAGCATTTTGAACTTCTATCATGATTGTCTTTGTATTTGGAAGACAAAAAACTTAGTGTATCCTTCTTTGATAATGACTGCAGAAAAAAAAATGGGGATATTTTGCTACTGCAGTGTAGAGTGTAGATAGTTTGGATCTCAGAATGAATCCACCTTCATAGTAAATAAATTGCTTCTTGACCTCCTGTGGCAGAATTTTTGTCAGCATGTAAAGGTATTTTCATTTCACATGAAGGAAGTTTCTCTAATCTGTTGCCTCGGTTTGTTTTTTGTATTAGTATTGTGGAAAAAAAAAAGGCTTCCACCTTTGCTAAGAATGTTTGGATACAGTATAGAGCTAATTAAGACTGGAAAATGTCTTTTTTGAAAGTGATCAGGCTCTGATATTTTTTTTCAGAAGTTTGTAGGCTGAGGCAGTATCAAGGTGTACAGTTCCATAATTTCAGGGCACCAGAGAGTTATAGATTTCCTTAGTTAAGGGAAACAAATACATGAATCTCAGTAAAGCAGACTTACTAGTAATTCTGGGACAGTTCACTGCTGATGGTTTGCAATGGTTATTTATTGTCCTGATCACTGAGGAAATTCACGCATTGCAAATTGATAAAGTAATCAAGTTCAGAGAAATCTTGGAAAAAGTTTTGAGTAAGTGAACATATGAATTTATTCTTCCCCCGAGATGCAAAAGGCCAAGACCCATTACTATTAAAGAGAGTTGCACACACAATCAAAAGAGTGAGATCCATGGAGTTCTCTCACAATAGTTCTGGTTTAGAGATACTTGTGTTCTATTTCAAAGTATGCAATGCTTTATAAGCTATTGGAAATAATAAGAAGAAATTTGCCAGTCTCCAATAGTCTTTGTGTTATCTTCATTTTTACATTGTTACTTCTGAGGCTGTAAATCTTTTGACTTTATTTTAATTTTGTGCTCTTTTTTTTTTTTTGATGGGTTGTCTTTGCTTTCCTGTAGGTGTATTTTCTTACTAGAATTTATATCAGGAAAATAGATTCAACAAATATTAATGTTTCATGATAGTCGTCACTTAGAAAATTATTCTGAATATTTTTCCTGAATAGAAGTTTAGTCTTGATCCCTTCTCTTCCTCATTCCACACTCTTTTCAGGCCTGTAGGACCATGTAAATTTGGTATACTAATAACTGGTTTTTACTATGAAAAGCACCAACAATTTCTCTAGCATGCCAGTTATACTACTGGGCTTGAAGTTACAGATTAATTCAATATACAACAGTTTAACACTTTGTAGCAATCCAAGATATTCTTTGGACGTATGTTAATTTCTGAATGTTAAATATTTTAAGAGTAAAGTCGTACTTTTTTTTTCTCTCTGTAAGCAAAGTATATGTAACCTGAATTGATGTTTCACGTAGCATTTGTCAAGAAATTTTATCGTAGTTAAGGCATTTGGATCTAATTTTCCTCGTATTAAGAAAACCCCTGCTATGTCAGTGGGGCATATCCTTAGCATGCCCAGCCCAGTATGGAATATAATTCGTTCCTGCGTGCTGTGCAACTTCTCTTCATGTGTGGCTGTAGCAGAAAACAAACAGTGTGCGTGCAGATTTGGCACTTGCTTTTCTTGCATAAGCAACAATGAGAAATAAGCACTGTGTTGTAAAGATGAGTGCTTAGGGCTTCTTATGGGGATGTTCTGCCTACACTGGGTCTGTGCAATTTGCAGGGATCACTTACACCCTCAAATTGTCATGAGGTGGGTTTTCTTTGGTACTTTTGTATTGTGTGGCCTCTGCATTTCTCTCCCTCCTTAATGCACAGAGCTAAGTCATCATAGAATCATAGAATTTCGGGGGTTGGGATGGACCTTAGAGATCATCTAGTCCCAACCCCCTGCCCTGGGCAGGGACAC